GCTAAGACACTAGTGTGGCTAAAACACTAGTGTGGCTAAAACACCAGAGCAGATGAACTATACTCAAGTGGAATCAATAGCAAATATTTAATGTTCCAATGTCTTAGCCACGCCATCAGGATATACATTTGTACAATAAGCAGAATCAATAGCAAATATTTAATAACTCAATGTCTTAGCCACACTGGTGTCTTAGCCACATCAGTGTCTTAGCCACGCCATCAGGATATACATTTGTACAATTACATTCCAATGCTTTAATACCTGATAATTGGCTACAATATTACAGCTAAGACTTTGAGGTAGAAAAGTGGTACTATAGGGCAATTCCAGCCTCACATTTGCAAGGTCTTATGCCTTAGTGGTATAGTGCGCTGCAGTTACTTTTGGGCTGCGGGTTTGATTCCCGCTTGTGCCATTTTTTGGGCTTTTCGGAAATTCTTCAGCGTGTCTTAGCCGTAAGGCTCCAACCGTTTAGTTTACGTTTAAATTTTTTTTGTAAACACACAGTAAATGGTTATAAACGGTTATAAACAGTTTATAAACAGTAAACAAACAGTTAATATGTACAATCACTTTTTCTTTGAGGATCGTGCCAGAATAACTTCCAGAAGGCCTGCGCAAATCCATTGCTTGACGCACATAGCCTCTGTGACAGTCTGTGCCCAGAAAGAGGAGAAAAGATCAGTACACAAGTGTCAAGACGCTGAAAACAGTCATTCCACTGACACGCTTATTGCAGGAATGGCCAGAAAGTCGCGCGCCATACGGCTTATGATGGGAAATGCACCTGCATGCTCCTAAAGAGTTGGAGTCAGTCACAAGATTTGTACAAAAGCAAGGACAGCTCATCTTCCACCAGGTCAGAATAGCACTATGCGGCTCAACTGCACCGCCTTTGCCCGCGAGATACTGCTCAGCTTTGTTCCATCGCAAGACGGATGCAACGGTTGCTTGTAAGGGCTGTGAAACTGCGCACACTTCATCAAGGAAGCTGGTCTTATTCTGCGACTCAGAAGCACAGGGCTTCTCAGGCCTTGATGAGTGTTCTCCTCTGCAGCAGCTGCATACTTGTTATACGCATGCTGGAAGAGCGCGCGAGCCTTCTCGACAAAGTCTGTGCCTAGCCAGTTGAACCACTGAAGGTGCATGGAAGGGTGTAGCACTGACAGATGACGTGTGAGTTCAGTCAGCGTGTATCTGACATTAAAGCAGACGCTTGTACCTGTCGCAATAATTATGTACTGGGAGGCCTTCGCTTTTGTGTAGTATCCAAGCAGCTTGAGCAAACCTGCGGCCGCAGCATTGCGAATGAGTGGGTCCAGCTTCTCATCTTGAGCATTTGCATCCAGCGATTGTTGCATGTACTTGTACATTGGGAGCACATATGGCAGTATTGGCGTGCGCACCACGCTCATGGCTTCTGTCATCTTTGTGAATACCTGTTGGTGTAGGTTGAGTATCACTGAGATGCATAATGACAGTGCTGATGGGTACCGCACCTCGAGTAGCTTTGCAATGCTTGCAAGCATGGTCCAATCATTGGATGTGAGTTTCAGCTCATGCAGCGAAGGGTGAGCATTCACCCACTTCATGATGACCTATGTGTATTCGTAGTAAGTGTCAACCCACAGCTAATAGAAGATAAGACTTACGTCTCTCAGTTCCAGAGCGCGAACAATCATAGTGTGGGTATAATTCCATCGTGTGACAACATTGCAGATCACCATGAGCCGGCGCCGCCGTGCGTTCTCTGCAGTATCTGCTTTATATACCTTGTGCTTGATCTTGTGGAACCTTGAGCGTTGCTGCGGCGAAGACGCGATCTTCGTGCATATGAGGCGGAGCTAAAGCAACATCGATTCCTTAGGTTGAAGTTGAGACCCTCACGCAGGTATGAAATAGGTACATATCTTCTTTACAGGGCTCTGCGCCTTCCATGTTGATTGCCCCAAGTTGCCAAGGTCCTCGTCCTCAAATTCGTCATTGTATTTGCTATCCGAAGAGTTCTCGCCATCATCAAGTTCTTTGTCTTCGGCCTCAAGAGCCTTGAGATCGCCATCTTCTTCCGGGTTGTAATGAAATGGCTCATGCTTGGCGAACTCCTCGTAATAATCTCTCAGTGCCAGGTCATCTGCTTCTGAGAGCTCGTGAAGAAGCTTCTGCACCACAAAGTTAATGACATGTGCGATACAGTGAATCTGGCCGTTTTCGGGATTAAAGTGAATGCCGTACTGCTTCAGAAGCAGCAAAGCGAGGGTACGTGCCATGATGTTGTTGGCTGAGGCGTTGTCCATTGTAACGCTAACAAATTTGTCAAGACCACTGCGCTTCGATCCACCATCAACAAACTCCTTCGCTGCGTACTGGCCTCGGTGCTCCTTGTCTTCAAGATGGCGGAAATCCACCATGCGCTCGATGAGCTCCCAGTCATCATTGATGAAGCTCGCAAGTGTACCTGCAAATGTGAACACCATCTGCGAGGTCGTCCATGAGTCTGTTGAGTATGCAATCTTGGATTTCACTGCCTGTTAGACTGGTGTTAATTAACATATTTGGAAACAAGGATAGCGGCTTACTGAAAGTTCCCACACAACCTTGCCGTGCAATTCTGTGAAGATCTTGGCAAGTGTGTTCCGAACAGTTGTATTCATAGGCAAAGCGTAATTCACTTTGAGGTAGCAGAAAAGGATGGTGAGTGACGGTGCTTCACCTGTCGTGAACAGCAAGTCCTGATCAAGAAGCCACGCGGAGAAGAGTTTGACAAATCTGCCATAAGTCGGAACTACGGCTGGATTGAGCTTGCCCTCTTTAAGGTACGCCACCATCAGCTTCATGCTGGCCTTCAAATTCAAGTCTAAACCTGGAGCACCGGGCTTTGACTCAGATTCATCTCCTTCAACAGCTTGTCCATCCGCTATTGCAGGGTGGTCATGGAGATGGGTCGACAGGTTGCCAAGGTGAGAGAGGCGGGGCTCATCTTCAAATCGAGCACTGTCACCCTTGAGCATACGATTCACTGTGCGAGACCCGATAAGATTACGTGAGTCTGAGCGGCGCATGAGCAGATTGAGGCATGTGTCTCACTTATTGCAGTGCTTGCATTTAAACGTCCAGGGATCACCTTTCCGGGAGCTGGTCGGGACAGGGTCATGATAATGCTGAAGGGCGCTATTCACAGGACCGCGCTTTCCGCCTTTGTCGGCTGCTTCCACCTTCTCAACTTGCCGAAGGGCATTTTGGCCATCCAACTCGCTCCCCGAGGACACCTCTATCTTAGACCCAGCCTTCCTTGCCTTCTTCCTTGGCTACAATACATGCAGAAAGGTTAGTGCATGGATACAAAGTGCGGAAATGTTTGTTACTGACTGGCCACTTGTATTTGTTTGACAATGAACGGCACTTCTGGCCGATGTCCTTGATTGTCCTCTTCTTGCCATGATCTGCAGGTGCACGTATATGCGTCTTGGCCTTCGATGTCTTTTTGCGAACGCTGATGGCTGGCTCCCCTTTGCTTTCATCTGATGTGATGTCGTCGGTGTCAGACTTCGTGACGCTGGTGGCTTTATAGTCGTTGCCACTACCTGAGCCACTATCAGACAAGTCTGACAGCGCCTTGCGCTTCAAGTGGCACAGTGAGCAATACGCTTCTATAATTCTCCAAGGGTAACACTAACCTTCGACTTCCTCCGACGTGTCTCTTCGATGATCTCTTCGCCATCAGAATCGAAGATAACTGATGGCGCGTGAAGATCTTCCACAGCGCGCCTGGGAAGTCGGTATGTCTTGTCACCGGCTTCACCGTCTGATAGCAGGTTAACAGCTGGTGTAGGTGTTATATTGAGACTCTTGAAATGCTGCAGTATGTGCTCACTTTGGGGTTTCAGCAGCTGGTCCAGGGGAAGCTGCCACATGGGCGCAGACTTCTTTTTTCCCATCTTGTCTGCGCTTTTGCCGGCGCCCAACCTCGTCAGCTTGTCTGTGGCATCGCGTGCGTTACCGCCATTACCAGAGGTGGACAGAGCTGTACTGGTCGGCTCCTCGACTACTGAATGGGTCACAGGCTGCGTAGAGCCACCAGCATCATGTTCGACTTCTTGCAAGGCTGGTTGTGTCTCTGCAGCAGGCTACATGTGAATCTGCAGTCAGTATACACACCCGAGGCATCATTTACATAATATTCACCTGTTGGCCGCGCTCACCACAAGCTGTCACAGGATTAAGACAATTGCTAGGGTCAATTGATGGGCGGCCGGAAGCTGCATTGCCACTACATTTCAAGGTTAGTGACCCCTTCATAACAGGCAAAGCAACACCATACCACTTACACAAGAAACTCGAGCTCTTTTATGAGCGATTTGAGCCGAAGCTCGACAACAGCCGACTGCATGGAGGGGTCATCTAGCTTGATCGAGCGAATGTACTCGCACCAAGCTAGCATCCCATACTTCCCACGGGTGACATATTGCATTTGAGGTCCGATACGACAGTCCACTCCGAACAACGCATTGTAGCGATGATTGAAGGTGTGGAACTCGTCTTCACCTTGTGTGCTGGCAAGAATCTTGCTGATTCTGTCGGTTTTTTTTGCAAGAGGGACTGACTCTGGCAATGCTGGTGCAAGGTCCGTGAGCTCTTGAACGAGCTTGCAAATATCTTCAAATGTTGGAGGGCTCATAGGTGAGAAAGGGCGCAGCGTGGTGGAGCATGACATGGGTGTTCAAGGGCTCAAGAAGACAGGTCCGATGTCTTAGCATGCCAGCATGGACCCCCAGGCTGTAAATCTTGCGGAATAAATATATTTTATTATCATGCTTGCTTATCTTGATATCTGGAGTGTTATCAATGAGTTTGCGCCCTAGCAACCCACATCCTGACGCTGTACACACGGTCGCGGCGGCGCGGCAGCCTCTGGTGCTTAGCGCTGTTGTACCATCCAGCTGTCAGGCAGTAGAGCGTGCGCCGCAGCTTGCCATAAACTGGCCATCTCTGCTAGTAAAATAAAGACATATGAGACTCAGAGACCATCACATATTACATGAGAAAACTGTGTGTTTACTGTGTATAAATGTTTACAGCAAGTTTACAAAGCTCCGTGTAAACAAACGGAAACAGTAAACGGTAATAAACGTTTATACACAGTAAACAAACAAAATGGTTGGAGCCTTACTTAGCCGCTCTTGGGCGCTTCTGGTGGCTAGTCTGGTGTAACTTAATAAGTTCCCGTGTCTGGGCCACCGAACTGAATCAGCTCCGGCCTCGCAGCATGCACACACACTCATCTCACACGGCTTCACTCGAACAGACCGTAACCAGCCCGCTGTTGACAACATCACCACTTCAAACTTGTTTCTCGCAAATGAAGCTCTTCTTGACTCCGTGAAACGGCAGGGGGTGGACAATCTCACACGACTTGTTATGAAGCCCGACGACAACAGCGACGATGTCCAGACTGCCGAGATCACATAGATTGGGGAAATCCGGCATGACAACTTCAAGCTGCTCCCAGACGGCGGCTAGTTCCCCTCTTGGCAGATGCCCCTATCCAAGGCTAAGGCCTCTGCCATTATCATGTGCCCCACTGCTGCCCCATTCAACAAAGGCTGGGACAACATTAAGCAGGCCAATTTGCGTGTACAAAACTCAAAGAAGACTCATGGATCAAAGATTGGGAACAGCATCTGGAGTGATAAGGACAATGGTATCAAGGTCAGGCATGCATTGTTCAAGGTAAGCACATTTTACCCTGTGTCGTCACTGCACTTCACTGATGAACTACCCCAGAGAGAGGGCAATGAAACCATTAAGGGTGCGCATTTACTGTCCCCAGTTCCAACTCACTGCTTACTCCTATGCTCCTCACCCATCAGACCCTTTCATTGACACCTGGCCAGTCAAATCGGAGGCGAAGGCCGCCCTTCAAGATATGGCCAACGAGACGCAATTCAAGTGGCAGATCAACATCATCCCTGCATTTGATGCCAACGACAGCCTCATCCCGCCGGAGGATTATGAAAGATGTCTGAAGGGCGCCATCGTCGCTATCAAAGTGTCCATTGCTCACCAACATCTTGGCAGGTCAGCCAATTCCGACAATTACTACGCTGACCTCCTCGAACTGAAGGTCCTGAAGGAATCCGTATCTGTTATCGCGTCTCCGGCGAAACGTCGCCTGGCAGAGGAAGCAGAGAAATTGGCCAAGCGTACAAGGCTCGAATAATCATGTATTTTATGTACAAACAAAATGAATCACTATCGGTGTGCCCAAAACTGAACTGACTGTGCCAACGCGCATGCTCTTTGCACAAGACCCGCGGCCAACGGGCGCCCTTCAAGTTTATAAATATTTGTGCCAGCATGAATTGTGCACTAAATTAGCTACTTGTACTACAATTAAATGTTTTTATTTATGTTTCAAGGTCGCTTCCGACTGTGGGCTGCCGAATGGATTTGACTTTAAGTTGTGAGGGTTGAAGATCCATACTGGGCAAGCTGCGGTCGTGTAAGCGTCTCTCCAACACAAGTGGGAGTGGTTATTGAATGTTTAGTAAGAGCTATTGGTGAATATTATGGGCGGAAATTGTGTCAATAATCACAGAGGCAGGTGGGGAATTTTCAGGCACGGGTGACTCAGAGTTGTCCAGCCGGCCGGCGTGTGTATTCCAGCAGAGCTGCATCCGCTCTCGATCTTTCATCATGCGTTGCGAACGCTTACGATTTGCAACCAGTTAGCATCTTCGGCATCTAAGTTGGTGCAGAGTGTAGTGATACAGCACTACACTCTCAACTTCCACGAGCACGAAGTGGGGTGGCCGCAGTCCAGTTTGGTCAGGGCGCGCACGAGTCACTATGTCGGCTGAAGGACAGAGTCATGCACAGTATCTGAAATTCTATCTCTGCGGAACGATACCATCCGCGTGATTAGTCAGTTTCAAGTGCCTTCGCTCTTGTCGGTTTCAGCGCACCTTGGTTCCTACAGAAGGCTGACAGGGAGATCGCAAAGTGACCCTGATGGCGCCGCGCAGTAAACTCGCTATTAACAACACTTTCTCTCTGTCGTAACCTACTGCAGCAAAACTACAGCTGCTCCGCAAGTTGAGATGAGGCACAGTGAAGGTCGAAAGCGAAAAGATTAATATACGCGTCGACATCTATCTCTTTTGGTAGCACTGGGACCAATGACTAACTCCATAAGTGTCCGCCTCAATTACTTTACGAGTGCCTCCAATGAGCTGTGCAGACAGTGAAGGCATTTTGGTCGATCCAAAACGGACATGGGGCGGCAATCCTTTGAATAATCATCTGGAACAGAGATGGGCTTGCTCTACGGAAGGCTTCAACTTTCAAGGCATCCTACACACAGCAATCGAAGAGTCTGTACAAACAGACAGAGCAAGTTCTAGACATGAGCCACTGCTACCATAGTCCTACCAGTACAACAACCAACTATTCAGTTTCAGTCAAGCTAGGGCACACGATCGCTGCACACTCGAGTACCTTTGGCTTCTAGACTTTGAGGGTGGCGAAGCCGACGGCGTTCTGGTCGAACAAGAACGTGGTGTAGACATTCTTCATGAACGCATCGCCAAGAAGCCAGGTGTTGTCATCGAGACCGAGGCTCCTGCTTGCGACGGCGAGCGCGCCAGCGCACAGGTTACTGCCAACCGGACCGAGGTTGAAGCTGCAGGGCGTGATCAGCACAGACTGCAATGCGACACCACTCAAACTCACTTGGCTTCAGTGACCTCCCAGGCCTTGCCTCCCCAGTTGAAGGTGACAGTCAAAAGCGAGCCACAGGGGTAGGTGTAGTATCCGTGTTCATAGTCAAATTCGAAGCTGCCTGGGATCGCCGTGTAGAAGGCGCTGATATGGGCCTGCGGAGCGTACATGAGTGTCGTACCCGAGTCAATGATCGTGTTCAAGCCACTGTTTGTGGTCGTGGTGCCGACGAGGCTCTTCGCGCTGGTCGCCTGCCAAAATCCTGTCGACATGTCGACGCCGTGGTACTCAATCGGGCCAGTATACTTTGAGGTGTCAGTGCCACCGAAGTACAGCTCCGAGCCAGTCGAGGCCAACATGAAGCCGAACTCACCTGCACTGGCTTTGCCCTGGTTTATCAGCATGTTGAAGAACGTGGTCTGGTACGGGGCGCACAGAAAGCGTCAGTGTGCCGTACAAGGAGCAGAAGAGATAGAAGAAGACATACCCCGCTGAGAGATGAGAGATGAGGGTAGGCAAGGCCCAAGATTCTGTCAAGCTGGCTGTTAGCGAAGGAGTTCGAGAGCGAAGTGACTGGAGAGAAGTATTGGCCGGTGGCAGTGAGCCCAGCGACAGCCACTACAAGGGGACATCAGCTGAGCTCCATGGTCATAAATCCCGGGCGGCGTACCATCGTCGGAGTAGATGGGACCAGTGACAGTCGATTGGTCACCGTACACAATTGTGAAGGTGCTGCTCTGCTGGGCAGAGGTGGAAGACTTTGACGCATCGTACTTGTTCTTGCCGGTGCAGATCGAGTCCGTGCAGGATGTGCTGGGGACCCACAGGTCGGACGAGCCGGTGTCAAAGTCGATGGTGAAGGGCTGGCCGGGAGTACCGATGGCAATCGGACCCACCCACTCGACGTCTTGGTCGTCAGCGAGGGCCTCGATGCCAATGGCACGCTTCTCGGAGGAGGGAGGGACAGTGACAAAGTCCTTGATCTCCGAGCCCTCGGGAAGACTATCCATGTTTGCCAGCAGGTTCCGAAGGTTCCTCTGGTATTTGCTGCAAAAAGCAGGGCAGAGCACAGTCAGTAACGGCGGTGCGATGCAGGGAGCGATGGGGAACGTACTTCTGAGTCTTGACGCCGTCCAAGATCGCCTTCTCGTGGTCGAAGGTCCCATCAGCACGGGTCAGCATGCTGCGCTCCCCCAGTGCAACCTTGACACCGGGTGCGTGGACGACGGGGCTCGCGGTGGCGAGAAGGGCGATGGCCACAGAGATCAAGGTCGCTTTGCAGAACATGGTGCAGAGGCAGGCGAAGGCTGAAGAGGCAGGCAGGAGCAGGAGATCCTGTTGGTCTGCAGATAGCTCTTGGTCGTGCTTTTATGTGCCCTCGACACTTTGACCTATGTGCCTATCTTGGAAGGCATGTATCACTGCAGGGAAGCTTGGTGCACAGACTGCCCTAAACCATTTGTTAGTGTCTCCGGATGGACATGACTAGACCGCCAAACGTGATGGTCAGATACCATTGCGCCTGACGGCTGATTGCTGCGTCCACATGCAGTTGTGTAGGGCGAGAACAATACGCACCCCAGTATCTCATCATGGGAAATCGGGCATTGATAGAGCAGTATGCAGAACAACGGCGTGCCCTTCGTCGTGATGTCACGGAAGAAGTCCAGTTATCATCATCGAACCACTGGTCAAGTGATGGCTCTAATATGCGCTTATTCAACAGCCACGGGCAAAAATACGTCGTGATGACGTACAGCTCTGAAGTCGCGCACGGCTTTTACTTCTATTTTGCCACCAGCATGAGCACCACGTTACAACGTAGGTTTTATGGACATACACGTAGAGCCTAGGTCAGCTCGTCGCAATGTTGTGGACTTGGCCTGACCGTTGAGACATATCAAGAATGCATGCTAGCGGGATGGACTTCGCGTCGATGTATGTTGCTATGTAGCCCTAGTTCAAGATTTTGCTCAATACACTTTAAGAAACAAGTCGTCTATTTTTGCCTACTCTTTTGTGTTGAAGAACTTGAATTGGACCGGCAAGCTTGGAGCTCATTGACACATGCCCTGGATATTACTCAAATGTGCATAGCAGGGCAGATCTTTATTCGCTACACTGCACGGGCAAATGAAAAATTGCATCTCATTTGCTGTTCCTTGTTCTCTTACCTGCTTAGTACGACGCGTCGCATGATGTACAGAAAGTGGTATCATGAGTTGACTCCCAGTTCAGAGACCACTGCGACTACTTCGACTGGTAGAGATGGAAGTACCTGTACAGCGAATAGATAGCCATCAATAAGCATCACAGCACTTGTTGGAGTTAAGCTGATCACTGAGCTTACCAAGACCTATATACGTATAGTAACCTGTCATATAGAATGAGTCTGTAAATGCGCGAAGCGGCAATTCTGGAGTGTTATGCAGTTGATGTGGCATGCGGTGGATCACGGGGTTTTCCGTTTTCCAGCGCTACATGACTGGGCGCCTCTGTCCGCCAGAGGTGTGGCGTATGTTATTCTATTCAATAGTCTCGGAGACTGTGGATTGAAGCAGCGTTCGTATGTTAGTCGAGGTAAAGTTCGCGTACATGTAGCTATGCTTCCCAGCTGGCGGGCAGAAAGTACGAGCAGGTGCTGTGGCGGCCCGAGTTGCACGACGAAGAAATGATGACAAAAGATATGGAAGACCCAATAGCTGAGAAAAATAGACGTCCTAGCCGAACATTGGCAAGCCAAGTTTAGCACTTTGTCCTTAGCGCAATATCTGTGTTCATCTATGCCGTCGGTTAATTCGGTCTCGACCCTCGGAGATGTCATCATGGCATTGCTCGCTACCGAGTACGACATTGCACCCTGTACCACAAATGACATTTGCTTAATGTTTTCTACCTGGAAGGTGTTTGCCGTGGCGGAGCCGAAAGAGAAACCGTTGTGGCGGCCGCCTTCCAATTCTGCATGTCTAGAATCCGCCGCTCTATGAGTCCACAGAACCGCTTCGGCAGCCACAAATAGATCCAGAGTCGTCTGATTAAATGCCAATTAGCGAGTTTATAACATCGCATAGTAGACCGGTGCAACGAAGGACCGCTACGCGAGTATCAGAAGAGGGAATCATCATGTTAAGCATGCGAACAGGTGACCACGCAGCATATTTGTGCCGCAACGTCTGCAGTTCCGGGCATGCGTCTGCGCACTGTGACGCTTTCTCGGCGTCTGCGCAAGTCTGTAGCTGTACGGGAACGTCGTTCCCCAACAAGATCCCTATTTTCATTTGTCCCCGTTAAGTTCTGAAGGCTATGTTTGCGGAACATGGATCACCTTGAGCGCGGAGCAACGTTGCGTACTAGTTTCTGAGTGCAACTCTTGAGATGATTGGTCTTCACTGCTCGCAATCGCGAAGCGATTTCCATTTCATTGAGCTGGCTAGCAGTGGAATTTGGGGGTCAAATTGTGTCTGGTCGTGCGCGTTTTTGAGTTATAAGGCGTCAGCGCGACCCGGAGGTGTGGATCCCTATTTGTTGGAAGACTATTCGGGAATGGCGAACAAAGGTTCCCAAAGAGGAGCAGGTCCCTCATGAAGAAAGTATGTCAGCGCATTTTGACAGTAAACTGAGCCTGTGAGCCAGCTGCTCGAATTTCCTGAGAGAATCATTGTTAAAGGAATGCCCGGAGATACTTACGCACAGCAACGTCGCAAAGTACGCAGAGTCATAAATGCTCCATAGCACTACGCGCTGATGTCAGCCTTCAGCAGTCAGCTCTAAGCTGGCAACTCTAGCGCTTTTAATTTGTATGCAATCCACTATGCCATCATGGCGTTCGACGTCGAACAGGTCAACGCGGAGGATGCATCAACTGCATAGCGGCGTCACCGGAACCTGTGTGGAAGGCACAGCAAAAGAGGAGTCTCGCTACCTCAGTACCGTGGAGTCAAAGAAAGGAGGCGGCGGTAGAGAGGACTCAGTGATCTCACAGTACACCGCCCCTCAATGCGCTCGAGCTCATCGGGGATGAACAGCTTCTGAATCAGCGTCTACAGACTAAGTGGCCACACCATATTGTCAGACACAGCATGACTACTCACATCAAGACAGTATTGTTTTGGTCCGCGACTCAGAGCTGTGGTGTGCTGGCACCACCTTGCAAGCGTCGGATGAGCGTTCGCGGCTGCGAGTGCCTAGCTGGCACCGTAAAGCTCGGCGTAACTTTGATCGCACGAAAATACATAAATCTGGTTACTTATTTGACATCATCAAAGTGAACCGTCACTTTCCGCCTGGATGAGGCCCGAACGAAAGCAGCCACAGGCGCCTACTTTGTGCTGGACGGCCGTATTTGGCAACCCTGGTGTTCAGCGGGAGACGTCGGCACCGGCCAGCCTTTCAGGAGCTCGCAAGATGCAACAATATCTGCAGATACTTTGGCGCATAGTATATTACGGATTCAGATATAATTTAAACCATGGTTAGCACTGCGGCAAAGGCGCTTCCACTGGAAGCGCTATGGCATCAGCCTGAACCTCGACGTTTATTTCGATTGTCCCAGACTGGTGCGTTGCATTGATGACTACCTGCTTCATGGCGTTGTTTGGATGCGAGGGCTGCATGAGAGAAACTTGTATAGAGGACAGTGCCGGCCTGCCGGCCTTGAAAGCACCATCCAGGTTGAAACGAACAAGGACCAGGCAATTGGCAAGTCCAGCGAGCGGAGCGGACTTTCCATGGGTTAGCACAAGTCACTTAGACATGTCTGAGACATACCACGGATATGCAAGCGAGCGTTGCGGGTGGACCTTGAGTAAGATAAGTGGCCATGATGATTGCACTCGATGTGCTGACGTAGATCGGATTGTGAACTGTGTGGAGATTGTTATGACAGAGGTTTCTTAGCAAGCCTGAGGCTTGTCTGATCGCCTTATCCGCAGATGAGGTTAGAGCAGAATAAAGAAACATGAATTTACGAAAGAGCTGAAAGCTGAAGTTCTACTGTACATGCGCGGGGTATATATACTACTGCTCATCCTAACCTAAGGACTAGTCTACTAGTCAAAGGGACTGCGGGTGAGTCAGTGGAGCTGCGCTCTATGAGTCGACGAAGGCTGTACTACTAAACTAGAGTCAGAGACGAAAAAGGAAATGATATCCCATGCCACCATGCCCATCATAACATTACCCCCTAATCTACCTTCGAGCAATGATCGAAATTAGTTGAGAGCCCAGATCTCCTCCTGAACTCGCGCGACTGCGTCCTCGAGAGCTTTCTTGGCGATTATGAGTGACTTGGATTGTTTGCTGCGGCGGCGGCGTTCGCGCTTGAGCTGCCTCTTCGAAACCTTTGCAGGAGTCGGCTAATCTGAGAGCGCGCTCGGAGATGTCCAGCTGGGATCGACGATGTCGAGGGATTTGTCGTGGGAGGCGAAGTGGACCGACTTCTTGGTGGAGATGTTGCGGTTGGACTCATACGATGGGGGTGACGGCGACTCCTGCGAAGAGGATGGCTGGTCTCGAAATGCCCGAAAGGACTGACTGGCCGATAGAAAGGACTGGCTGGATGACGAAGAAGTGAGGTGTTCGGAGAGGGGTCGAGAGTAGGTTGGCGTCGGGTTGGGCATGGGTTCGAAGTCGTTGAATAGGTAGGCGAAATGGATTGAGGGCCCGAATTGATAGCGATGAGCAGTGTTGACGATGCGAGATGCCAATGGGTGTGTTTCAGAATAATTGGCGAAGTCTCTCCATGCCTCTAGATGCTCTGTGTCTGTCCTCCCAATTTGCGTCCTGAGCCTTGCAAGCCCTTCGTTGTTGATGTGCACCAAGTTTGCAGCGTCGCGATGAGTGTCGGTAAAATGTTCGTTGAGGGCGTGGAAACTTGTGACAGTCCTTGCAAATATCTTCGTGGCATTGTCCTCTTCCTCGGCAAATTGCGAGAGGAGCTTGCAGGCACTGTAGTCGTTGCGAATTTCGGTGATTCGCTGGAGGTAAGTGGTTTCATGGTATCTTCGTTCATTTTCTTCGGCACTGGCGCCGCTCCAGTCCCAGTGGGACTCAGAGTGCTCGTCGACGGGGATGGTGCTTTCGTGTGAGTCCGGAGTGGGTGCATGGGATGGGACGAGGTTGTTGTTGGAGACATTGGCATCGTATGCGTGCTGGGCGTTGGAGAGTTCAATGGAAGACGGGCTGCGGATGCGAATTTGCGAGGTGGATTCTGTGAGGGTGGAGACAGGGACGCGCTCGAAGATGGTGGCGAGAGTGGAAGACATTGTTTCGTAGAGAGGTGAGGCTGGTTTGGAGACTTGAAACTTGTTGTAGCTGCGACTGGGGTTGTCTTGGCTGGAGAACGAATAGGCAGATTATGCCTTCTTTTATACGCGTTCAGAATATCTTGGGCATTCTTTAGATGGGACTCAGGTTCCCAGGAGTTCTCTGCTTGTGGCTGTTCTTTCCACTTGACTAGGTATTGGACATAGCCATAGGATGTCTTGTGATTGAGTATCGCCTCGACTTCATGTTCTTCATGGCCGTCGATGATCTCTGGAGGCTGTTCTATGAAATTGGGGCCATGCTGCTTGGTTTCATGATACGGGGTGAGAAGCGAGGCGTGGAAGACATCATGAAGTTTTCGCTGCCCTCGAAGATTGAGTTTGTATACCAAAGGTCCTAGAACCTCTTTGATTCTGAATGGTCCCTGACGTTTGGGTGCGAGTTTCTTGAAGGGATAACCATCTTGGAAGTTTGTCATTTCAAGCCAGACCTTCTGACCTTTCAGGAACGGTGAAAACTTCCTGTAAGCTCTTGAGGCCATGCGATGCTGTGCTTGGTCTAAGGCAGCGTGGGCCTCTTCATGTGCGCGAGTCCGTTCTAGAAGCCATTGTTGTATGGATGGAACCTTAGTCTTGGAAAAAGCTGTGGGGATGATCCTTGGGTGTGAGCCATACATGAGATAGAATGGCGAATGCTTTGTGGCGCTGTGTTCTCAATTGTTGAACACCACTTCCATATTGGGAAGAAGCTGTGCCCAGCTGTGCGGATTGTTCTGGCAGAAAATTCTGATGTACGCTTCTACCTCTTGATTGGCTCGTTCTGTTTGACCGTCGGTCTGAGGATGGTATGCGGTGCTCATTCGTTCTTGTACTCCGGTTAGCTTTCACAATTCTCTCATGACTTGGGAGTCGAATTGCGGACCCCGGTCCGTGAGAAAGACGTCTGGTAGTCCGAATCTTCGGTAGACATATTGATGGTAGAGTTTGGCTGTGCCTAGCGCGTCTATCTTCTCCGTGCAAGGGCAAAGAATTACCCCCTTCGTAGAATCATGGTCTATCACGACCATTTGAGCATTATATCCGTGAGATGCCGGGAGGTGTGTGATGAAGTTGCAGGTTGTGAATGCGAATGGACGGTCGCGTTGAGTAAATTTGATCAGTTGGAGAGGTGGGATAGTTGGCTGATGATTAATTTTCATTTGCTTGCATTTTGCGCAACCTCGGACGTAATTTGAGATGAAGGTTTGCATGCTTGGCCAAAAATATTTGCGTCGGATGAGTTCTCCTGTTTTCCATTGTCCAGGGTGTCCAGTTCTAGGGGAATCATGGTAGGAGGATACGATGTGGCGTCGTAGTGCTTGATTTGCTGGTATGTAGCATTGTTCCTTATAAAAGAGTAGTCCGTCTCTTTCTTCCCATTGATCCGTGTTTGACTTGAAGGGAAATGCGTCTGTTTTTCCTAGTCGTGCTGATCGGACTTGTTCAGCAATGTCGTCATGTGTAAGATGTTTTTGAATGTCTTCTGCCAATTTATAATCCACGCTAGAAGTGGGTGCTTCGATTTCGATGTCAGAAATGATTGCTTCTTCGGTGAATAATGAGTCTGGTAGGAGGATTGTGGCGACAAATTTGTCTTCGGGTAGTAACACTTCTTCTGTATTGTCGAATTTTGCATCAGCTGGTGCAGGAGCCCTTGTCATGGCGTCCGCTTGGATGAGTCTGGTGCCTGCATGGTGTTCAAGTTCATAATTGAACTGGGACATGAATAGTTGCCATCTTGCTTGTCGTCTATTCAGTCGTTGTGGAGATCGGAAGTACGTGAGGTTCTTGTGATCGGTGAGGATCTTCGTGGCGCTTGGGTTTTTGTACTTGGCTTCTTTGACGAGTCGGTTAAATTCGACGTTGTAGTCATTGACTGAGTCGAAGTCTGACTGCATTATTCTGTCAAGTTTTACGATAGCGTCAACTTCGCTGTCCACCTTCTGAAAGGCTTTGGCGAAGTCTTCCTTGAATTTGGTCCATGTGGGCCAAGTTGTGCTGGCTTCGTATTCGTCAAACTTGGTGCAACACCAGTCGTGTGGCTTCTTCTCGGTGTTGTTGAGTACAAAGAGAATTTTCTTTGCATCCTTGGTTGTGTCTTTGCCTTTAAAGTAGATGTCGCAGTCTTTCAGGAAGTCTTGAATTCGCTGCGTGCCATCGAACTTCTGAGGCTTCGGAGTAGGGGCATGTTCGTTTGCTTTTTGAAGTGCCTCAATCATTTCTCGCATGAGAGTATTTGTGTCTGCCATTGTGGAGGGTGTCTGAAGTTGTCTGGTAACTTCGTATATTTCTTCTGTTGGATTTTGGGCTCGTGCGCTTGCACGCACATGTCTCGGGATGACTCAGATTCCTATTGGACAGTATTTTATTAGATAGTGCGTTCGTTATTTTGTTCCTGACTCACCAGTTGCTAAGGCACCTGCCGCTTTCCTTATTTACTTGCTTTTCCCTGTCGTGCACGCTCAGAGACTTCCCTTCTTCTGAGCGTGCGTATATCCTCTCATTATGGACACTGTAGGGTACTGACTGTATTGCAGTACGGACTGAGCGTCTGTTCTGCTAGGTAAATACATCTCAGAGACTTCCCTTCTTCTGAGCTACGGACTGAGGGTCCGTTCTGCCAGCCTCAAGCGCGCCCGACAGTCGAAGCCGGGCTCTGCGTGTGAGAAACTCACTGCGAAGAGTTTCTAGAGGTTATGAGCCCCGAGAGGCTTTGACTTTGTCATTGTCAGCTCTCGATCTTCCCTCGTCTCTCATTTCGGTTACCGGTGTATGCCGCCGCGTCGTGCTAGTCCACAACGCCCCTGTAAAGACGCTTCGCACGTATTCGACAAGGACGACGTTCTTGATCGCTGGTACAATCCGGACGCGTCTGACAGAACTTTCTGGGTTCCCTGCGAAGATCAACCTTGCGCTAATCGAGAAAATCGTCCTCTTGGCCAGTGTGACGAGCCTTAGGCCGCTCACATTGATCAGCCGCAACTCACGCTCATTGCCAATCACGGTAACACCCCCTCTTCCTCGACTGTTGTCCCCCCAAACACCCCACCTTCTGGCAATCCACCTGTCTCCCGGTCCACTATGCCAAGTGTGGCTGACACAATCCACAAGGCGTTTGGATCTGTACCTACGCTCAA